AATGTTCATTGAAGCTGACATGATTGCAAAAGCATATGCCGACGGGATTGCATTGCACTCAATGCAATTGCTACGGATGTCGTGCTGAAACCGTATTGATTACCACACGCTGAATAAATTTCACGCCTCGTCGTGAGTAGTGCAGCGCATCCCGAAAACATCTCGTTTCCAAGCGGCGATGTCAACACCGTCCAATTGAGTTTCAACAGCCGCCGCCGCCACGACCGCGCCGCTTCAATCAACAGCTCCGGCCTCCGGCGCTGCGGTGTCGTGCCGGGCCGCTGAAAGCCCGATCCAGCGCGGGACTGCGACCCCGGCGTGCGTGCTGCTGCGGCTCGATGTCGCCTGCTGGGTGTCTGACCCCGTGTCATTGTGTCACGCACGTGTCAGAGGGACGCAAAATCGCACCGGCACGGACCCCGCTCGGTTCGCATGCTGTGTCATTCTGTCGTTATGCGGAAAGTTGCGCAGACTGCACCGGTTCTTAGCGGGAAACTACGTCCTCGAACGACGGCACATGGAGTAGCTTGGCCTCGGCAGTGTCACGGAAACTCGAGGGCGACGACTGACCGCATGAGTTGTGGAAGCGATAGTGGTGCTGAACGTAACTCAAGAAGTAACTCAGGGAATATGCACTATACATAATACTCTGGCCTCGGAAGCTTCACTCAATGCTATGGGAAACGTTACATGAGCGTGCAGAACCGAAATAACCACGGTCTTTGTAGGGTATCAGTGGCCTCCGGTAGTCGGTCGATACTCAATCCACACGTGACCGAGAGTGGCATATGATGATCACGTGACCGAAACTGAGACCGCCACTGGCCCATATACCACAATCACGTGACCGGATCCCAGCGCGGCCACACCAAATCCCCGTAGCGTGTTTCTTTTTTCCAACCAAAGGAAGGCGCTATACCTACAACGCGCCAAAAAGTTCGGCCGGCGGCGGGGATCGAACCCTAAATATGAGATCACGAAGCGAGTGGACTCACCACTACACCACGCAGCCAGCTGGCCAGTGAGAAGTGTAAGTCACTTTTAAATGACGCAATGGGATATTCTCCGTATAGCGCCTTCCTTTGGGTGGAAAAAAGAATTACGCATCCCCGTAAGTCCGGCAGTGGTCACGTGTGTCAATCTCTATGCGCCCCTATATCGCCGGAGCCGCAGGGTAGCCGGCTGGTTTCAGGGTCAGCGGGTCCACGGGCCGAGCTGGACACCGGGAAATGGATCGCACGTAGCCAGTTCCGAGACAGACACTGGCGGATCCAGACTTGCGTTTTGGGGGGGGCCAACTCATGCAGGAGCCAAACTTGGGTACCCCCAAATCCTGTTTTCTCATCGGATTTAGGCCACTTATTTTTCGTCACAGCCCTGACACTATGAATATTTTTTTTAACTAAAAAAAAAAATATATAAATGGTAGCCCACCCGACCCATGCCTTTATATTACTTTGTAAACACTTACTATTGCTTTTGTCGACCAGTTAACCCGCTTCGAGTCAGTGCTTGGGTCCCTTTGCGGGCCGGGAGGTGGTAAAACGGGAGGTGGTCTAACTCGGCTCCTGGGCCAGGCACTGATTGAACTGTGCTTCATTATCGCTTGGGGGAGGGGGCAAACGGGCCACTTTAGGCCTCTGGGAAGGGGGCATGGCCCTAAATGCCCCCTCCCTGGATCCGCCAGTGTAAGAGACCATTGGAGCTGCAGTTGAGTACCTCAGACGTCAGGGTACGTCCTCAGATGTATAGGACTCGCATGGAGACCTCTTATGCTATAGTGGACTGAAAGGACCCAAAGGAGCCTGTCTAGGGCTCCCGGAGATAGACGTGGGCCCTCAGGAGCCCGCCAGAGCCCCCAATGAGGGATACGTGAGGGATACCAAGTGCCTGCAATTGCATATTGCATAAGCCATAACGCCATTACAAATCAATATAATATGTACCAGTGGCAGATCCAAGGGGGGCCACATGGGTCATGACCCCCCTTGGTGCCCGGGGGCACCACAGGCCTGTCAGGGGCACCACCGGCCTAGCAGGGGCACTACCAGCCCGCCAGGGGCACCACAGGCCTAACAAGGGCACCACGGGCCTGTGAGGGGCCCCACAGGCTAGGCTTGTCAGGGGCACCCCAGGTCTGTCAGGGACACCAGAGACCTGCCAGGGGCGCCGCCGGCCTTGCAGGGGCACCATGGGCCTGTCAGGGGCACCAGAGGCCTAGCAGGTGTACCACAGGCCTTACAGGGGCACCTTGGGCCTGTCAGGGGCACCACAGTCCTGTCAGGGCCCAGGGGCACCAGCGGCCTAGCAGGGGCACCACAGGCCTGCCAGGGGCACCACCGGTCTAGCAGGGGCACCACCGGCCTCGCAGGGGCACCATGGGCCTGTCAGGGGCCCCACCGACCTCGCAGGGGCACCACCGGCCTCGCAGGCATCACGGCATCACGCAGGGGCACCTTGGGCCTGTCGGGGGCATCACGGGCCTGTTGGGGGCACTTTAGGCTTGTCAGGGGCACCACAGTCCTGTCAGGTCCCAGGGGCATCAGCAGCCTAGCAGGGGCACCCTAGGCCCGCCAGAGGCACCACAGGCCTGCCAGGGTCCAGGGGCACCACAGACCTACCAAGGGCACCACGGGTCTGTCAGGGCACCTCAGGCTCCCGTGCCCCCCCGGATCCGCCAGTGAGCCACACCACGCGAAACACCGCCAACTCCCAGCTACCGCGCCATAAACACGTGCCAACAAGTCTTTTTTGAAGGTCGACTCCACTCGCGCAACTTTTGACTGACCCTCACTGCTACCATATTGCTTCCATATTATGCTGTGGAAAGCTTTACTTCACCAAGTGGCTAAAAACCTCCATCAAGGTATATTTTCTTAGCAATTTTTCTTACGTTTTGGGGGGGGCCAAACAGGCCACTTTAGGCCTTTGGGGGGGGCCATGGCCCCCGTGGCCCCCCCCCTGGATCCGCCAGTGGAGACAGACCAGGGTCACGAACGCAGTCCGAGCCAGGGTCACGAAGGGCCCTCAACCCGGCTGTTACGCGGCGCACGAACGCACGCTAAACGTGCGCAGTTCAGAGCTTATAGCGACACGGCGCATGCGGCGAGGAATCTAGAATCGAGAATATCTTGCAGCGGTGTGAGTTGGTGAATTCATTATGAGTGTCAAAGTATGCAGTTGCCATGGCTCGATCACATACTTTACATTGGGGACCTCTGCTTTGCATAGGGGACATGACTTGCTGGTTTCATCAGTGGAGGATGAATTTCGTTTCGGAGTGTATCTAAATCTATACCTACTATAGTCTACGTTACCTCTGAAATGTGAAAAGACGAACGCTAATGCAACAAATTATCATATCGATATTCGATGTGATATTGTGTGAATTCGGTATCAAGTCCGAGGATTATGTGAAGATGCACCCACCATCCCTATCCTGACCAAGCTACAATGTCATCTGTAAGCAAATAAACAGGAGATAAGAATATCAATTCAAGATACCACTGCTCAATCAATGTCTACCCAACATGTCAAAGAATATCAGACCGTTACTTTCACCCTCCGCATTGCAATGATAAATCACTGACGTCATAAGGTCATAGCCATGCTCGGGCATAGAGCCCTGCTGAGCTGCTGAATATATTCCGCAGCACGTGACGAGTGAAGAATGACTGGTTCTGCGCCGCAGTTGGGACAGATAGAGCTACAACGGAACCTCAGAGTCCATTTTGCTGACGGGATCAGTGAAAACTCATTGCCGACATATTTACACCGCCGAGAGCTTTACCAGGTCGCCAAATCCACACCCAAACCTTGGGTCTCCATTTGTCCAGCGATAAAAACCCGATCGAGTGCCGGCAACTGAGACCAAGGCCAAGACCGGCGCGATCGGAGCTCAGCCGGAGGCGCGAGGAGAGAACCTTGCGAAACTCCCGCTGCAGCCCGGTCAACAGGCAGTGCAGGGGAGGACAAATACGGCCGTAAACTGGCCGCAGCAGGCGACGACAGCCAGCCAGATATGTCAACGAGGCCGCAGAGGGCACAAAAACGGACATAGTTAGAAAGCGCCACCGCGAGTCTAACGGGCCGTCAAGCGAACAGCATGAGCTGGTTCGAAAGTGAAAGGCGCATTTTACCGATTATTGTTACTAGAAATAAGATAACGTTTGACCAACAGATTAAAAAAAAAAACACACACAATTATTGAGGAATCCAAATATTTTCAGCCTTGTGAAAAATATCGCATGCCGGACGTTTCGTGTCTGAGACATATCAGACGAGGACCGTTTATCACGCAAGGTCGGTGCCGTGCTAGCAGTCTCCACATCGCCGGTCCAATCACCGGCGGGTCGCGGCGCGCCGTATCAGTCGGACCCGGCCATAAAACGCGATAGGGGCCGGCTCTAGTGGGCGGCAAATCATAGGCCGTTTCGCGATCAAAGACCGCTCATCTACCGAAATGAAGGCGGCGATTGTGCTGTGGGAAAGGGAGGAAAAGAATGAGCCTGGCCTCAAAGCTCATGCAGTAGGAAGTCTCTCATAAAAGATTTTCGGCATACTTCAAATTTTGCAATGTTCGGCAATATTTCACTTCGCAAAAGTTATAAATTGATGAACGACCTACGTTATTGCTAATTGTTAATTGCTAAAAAGTGTTTAAAATAGCTAGGCCGGCTAGACAATAGACAGGATCTCAAAGTACTTTGTGCAGCTTCACTGATCGAATGCTCTAAGCACAATGGTCATTGTAATTGAACAGTGCGCACGTCAATAATACTAAGACGAAAGACGTCTGTGCATACTGCGAAGCAAGGGGGATTTGAAAGAAAAAAAAACATCGGGTAATGCACACGCATTTGGTGCGAAAAGAAGTTGCTTTGATTAGCATTGCTTGCTTAGTATCGATTCCGGAGTCGATTCTGTAGGCGTAATCCAAGCATCGGGTAAGGATAGCATGACTGCCTTTGCAGTGTCAGGCTTGTCACATTTCTACTCACCACAGTTGTAGGCGCTCCGGAGGGCAGCGCCTTCCTCCTCTGTCCCTCTCCTCTCGTCTGTTTATCCGGTGGCCTCCTCACTGTCTTTGTTTGCCTCGCGCCGCAGCCCACACAGTCCCACCGCACAGCGCAACACCTCACTCGCCGGCGGCCGAAGCGGCTCTGTCGGCCCGTCACCGCGGAGCACCGGCCACCGGCGGCGGCGTCAGCGGTGGCGGCGGCGGCGGTGGATGACCTTGGCGTTCGTAAGGGAGCGCGCCCAACGCACATCTTCCCGCTGGAGGCGGTGAGGGGAAGTGCGTCGAATGAGGGGAGAATTATGGGAAGGCAGGGCGTGCAATGGATAACATTTCTCGAAGACAGTTTAGGCCTTGTGCAAGTTTGGGGTCATCGTTATTATTATTTTGTTGCTGAACGGTGATCATTGCAATGCATGATCAATAATGCCCATATGCATTGACGGTCATAAGATTATATGCACCGTATATGTATATTTTTGCAAAGAACGCTATTCAGTACAAAATAATTTGAAATGTCTCAGCTATCGCAGATATCAGAATCTACATAAATATATGAATACGATTGGGGACAGCAAACGGACGAGATGGGTGTGACTATGAAGGTGCGAAGCCTGACAAAAGAAGCTGTTTCGCGAGGAATACGTTTCAAAAGTTCTCAGGAATGCGTCGGTCATATCGAAGTGAAGTATTGATGTTTTCGGGCCAGTCCTATCAAAACTTAGTGAACCTTTTGGAAAGGTATGATTAATTACAGACGCGTATTGCATGCTCCTTATACTCATAATTGGCATGAATAATAGGTAAACGTGTCGGCCTCGACTTGACATGAATGACAATGGCAGCCTAATATTGTTTTTGGCGGCGCCCGTTATTTATAATCCTGTTGCGATAATCACTCTTACATGACAGGTCTGCCAAGGTCATACAAGGCCAGTTGAGGTCAACTAAGGTCTAAGGTCACTCCTATGGATGTTTACACAGAAAGGGTGGTTTTACAAATGGGGAAGCATATGTATTGTATGATTCTTTCTGGGCTGTTTCTGGGCTGGACCGATGTCGGTGTGAATGTCGTTTTGGTACATACATCTTTTACTTTGCACAACGCGACGGTTGCGTGATGCATGTTCTTAAACTGGGTTAGTCCCAGCAACTATCTGGCTCGTTTTCACTTATTTTCCCGTATATGGGAGGTCAGCGACAGTTCCAGTGTCTCTTATACCCATACCTTCGACATTCTGGCCTGGCTTGCAACATTCGCAGCCTTTGTCCGTCCGTAAATGACGGCAAATGATAAGTGTTGCTGGATGTTATTAAGAGCCCTGACTAGGGAAGAAAACGCGTCCGTAAATAGCACTGAACCAGATCCTTATTGGTAATTACTGATCGTACCTACACAAATTCGAACAAAAGGCAACCTGCAGCGACCTCCCCCTGAGTTTTCCATCGCCCGTCGTGCCGTTCCCGGCGGCTCGGTCGCCGCTGTTTTGATGCCATGCCGTGGCCGAGACCGGCCGGCAGCTGCGCAGCTGGCCCGACAGACCGGACCGGGCCGCCGACCTTCGGTACACGTGCACCCATACTGGCCGGTGCTGCTGCACCGGGGAGAACTGTTGGCGGGGTGACCGCTCCGGGGCAAGCAGGGTCGCGACTGCAGGGAGTGCGGGAACGGCAGGGAACGGCTCGGGCGGCTCTCTGTCGCGTCATTTTCAGCTGGAATCAGTCGGAATCCAACACATGGCACCCACTTTATATCCTCTCTTCTGTGACACGTCGATATAGTTTTGCGTTATCGTTCTTCGGCCTCATCAGTACCGGGCAATTCTACAAAAAGAATGTTTAAAGGTAGTGTGCCAGCTTTCCTGGACCGTATGGAGTTAATGGCCCAGATAAGGAGAACCGGATTTTTAGAACTTATCCATACCTTCAACACTCATGGAAACGTCTTAAATTCTTGAAACTTTGAGTACCCCAGTGCGAAATTCGCCCCGACGGGTTGTCGGTCGTACCCCAACCACATTTCACACCACTATGAACAATAAATGCACACACTGAAATCGCTATTACCGATATGCTCATTCAATCAAGTTTCGATAAACCCGTTCATCATCAGCTCCTGCGGTTTCGAACACGCCTGTTAGGTGGTGCGGTAGACCGCGCCCAAAGCCAGGGCCCCGGTAACGTGAGGTAGCCGAGTCAGGGCAGCGTGCGCTGATCCAAGCCGGAGCCGCGCGTCCTCCCGGTGTCATGTGATAGCCAGGGGCTGCCCGCGGGGATGCAGTAGACCGCGCCCAAAGCTGCGGCCCCGGCTTGGGTCAGCGCACGCTGCCCCGACTCGGCTACCTCACGTTACCGGGGCCCTGGCTTTGGGCGCGGCTTCTGCTCATACTTTGTGGTGCGGTGGTGGTGCGTCGGGCTGCGCGCTCTGACTTCGGCCAATAAAAATGTGTCAGCTGATCGTCATTTCTGCCACTTGCGTGTGGTGAAATGGGGTCATAACTTATGAGACGGCTTTTTCATATCAATTATTTTACATAAAATCATATTTCAAACCATAAATAATGTTCGACAGCCAAATAAAAGAAACAATACCAATACAGGCTTACAGTTTAAGGCTCGACATTGTGTTGTCTACGATTAGACAGCTGATAACTCATTCCCGTACGTCGTATGGTCGTAACACTATAATGACCTTTGCTTATTGTCACATGTGCGCCGCATTCGCGATTGTTGCCGACGCTTGGCCGACGCCTGTTTGCAGGTGAGCCCACTACAGTTGTTATACATATCGAAAAACCGATAAACTTTTAGGCGAAAAAGGCACTATTCCAGGCCCATTTTTGATTTTTCTTTTGCGATATTAGGTAAAAACAGAAGCTTCTTATCCTAGGAAAAATAAAATGGGAAATCTTTCAAAGGTGGCACACTACCTTTAAAATAAAAAATAAGGCAGAACCAACCGTTGTTGCCTTTTTTACATAAGCTAAGAAAGTACCTACAACAGTCATGTACCGAGGGACAATGCCTTCAATAGCATGTGTATTGCGGCACAGCCTACTTCCACGGTGTCTGTATTGCGGTACAGCCTATTTCCACGGCGCATGTATTGCGGTACAGCCTATTTCCACGGCGCATGTATTGCGGTACAGCCTATTTCCACGGCGCATGTATTGCGGTACAGCCTATTTCCACGGCGCATGTATTGCGGTACAGCCTATTACTACGGCGCTTACGCTGAAACAGACGCACTCGCACATACCTACATAGATGAGGCTTGGTGATAGGGATGAGAATTTGTCCGGTAGGACAGCTAAGGGAAGAAAGAGCTCTGTTGCCTGTTCCTGCCCTCTCCACCGCTGGATGGGATTTCTGAAACTGCTGTGCTATTCATATCGAGCACGAAATATCAGCAAGAAAAGATAGGTAAATGAAAAATAAGCGTACTAAGCGCAGCTGAACACGGCCCAGGAAGTGTCAGGTGACAAGAAAGATCGCACTTGCTGACGGAAGCCAGGCACAGAAACTCTGCGCGCTAGTTGAGGGAATAGTCTTTGTTGACACTGTATGCGTCAGTCGCCACAGGGACGGGTAAAGCGGACGATACTATTTACTAAAGATTATTTGCTGTTAAATCCTTAACAATTATTACCTACATCTTAGTTATTCGCGTTACAAGCCAAAGGTCGTGTTAGCCGTTTATGCTGCAAAACCGAACTAATGTCTGGTCAAGAGGTCGGTAAAAACAAAGGACGCAGGTTATTCCAGCCGACAATATTGTATCATCCGACAAAGCAGGATGATTTTTCGAGCTAAATATAACAAATGAGTCAACTTCTGATACACCTAAGTCATCAGCCCGAGCTAACAGCAAACTTCAGCGACATCACGCATTATGTAGCGCACACGCCCCCCCCCCCCCCGCTGCTAACCGCGGCACAAACAAAGACCAATCATCGCTGCACTCACAGCTCGGTAACCGCGCCACGGACAAAGACGGTGCCGCCCGCCCGGGCGGCGGGGCCGGCGGAGCGGGCGGCGGGACGGATCTTCCGCTCCGCCGCTCCGAGGCCCAGGGATGGGCAGGGCGGACGACAGCGGGGGCGGGGCGGCATCTGGGTCTGGCAGAGGGCCGTTAGAGCTAGAGACGATTCGTTACCGTTTGCTGTCTTCCGAGTTCCGAGTCAGCATGGACTGGCTGTGGAGAGGACCAGGCATCGCTAGACTCGTTTGTTGGCTGGAGGTAAAGAAGATACGAGGTCTCTAAGAAAACCTAAACGTGCATACTATTGTGAAGTCGACACTGGAGGCTGGGCAAAAAAAAAGCTTACTGCCATGATCTGCTAAGACTTATTTGCATTGATCGAGCGATCGTTCCTAAAAAAAAAAACGATAGCTGAAGCTCATGTCAAATATCGTAAGACGAGCCTATCGATACATTTCTATCAGATCCCTACGCGCCTCAAGCTCTCAGGCTTTGAGACCTCTGGTTGTGTCACCTCCCTCAGCGACAGGGAGGCCCGTCCCATTCTGCACTGTCGCCGGGGAAGCGTCGCCGACCGACCGTTCATAGCGGGCCTTCTGTCGGCTCCTGGGTCCGCCTCTATCGCGTCACTCGACCCTTGGCCCGGGACTCATCGCTCGTCCCCCTCCCCCCCCCCCCCTAGTCCCAACGATCGACGACAAACCGTCTCCACCGGCGGAACAAGGCTCGGCCCGGTCCGAATCGGGAGGGGTGTGAGCTTGCGGGGTGAGAGGAGGCGCTGTTACTGGGGAAGAGCTATCACTGGGGAAACTTTCACTAGGGAGACTCATCGGGGTGGCATTGTCATTGGGGAAGAAGCGTAACTGGGAAGAGATGGGATGTCGAAAGTCACCAACATCGGTCATGAGAAACGCAGAGATTGCGCTCAAGTGCGTCTGCAATAAGAGTGTGAAGGTCGCAGGGCCGCCGAGGACACCGTTCACTCTCTACCTCAGTCACCGGGTGGCGTATCGCATCTCCTCTCAGACAGATTAGCAGCCCATCGAGCTCGTCGCCACTGCGAGATCTCCGTACTCCGCGCTCCGCTTCATCACGCCACGTGGGCAGAGGAGAGGACTTTGGTCCGTCTATCTGGGTCGGAGATGGCGCCGCCGTCACGTCGCAGCTACGACCGGCCGTACCGAGCGCCGTGGCTGAGTCAAAAGTCGTCATAGCACGGCGCTGAATTCCCATTGGCCTCAGTGTTTGTGGACAGAGGCTGCAGCCCGCTGAATAGGACGAAGTCGTGAATACTGAGAGTTGGAATAAGAAAGAAGCAGCGCAGCACAGCGTCTCAGGAATCAATGTTCTGCGGCTATACGGCGAGCGGTGCTAATTGCAAGCGCTTTGAATTCAGGATGTGTTTGTGCAACATGCACTGAATACGGGACGTGGAGCAATTTGCATAATGGCTAGCCAGGCATAGGCGGCGGAACGGGGAGGACACCGGGGCACCGTGCCCCCTTTGATTTTGGCATTTTAACATTAGCCCTATGGGCGTTGCATGGAAAGAATGGGACCAAAAGTCGGCAGTACCCCCCCCCCCCCGTAATTGAGGGTGTTCCGCCGCTACTGAAGCCAGGTGTATGGGCAATTGAATAGGAAGCGCTAGATGCAGAGCGCCAGATTTCCATGGATAGGTTGAAACAAATGTGTTCTATTCTTTACCCTCGCCAAAGTTTCGGTCGCCCTAGCACTCAGCATTTCCGTGAATATGAAACCATTGGCCTATAGTGTCGCCGTTTTCCGCACACCAGCTTGTGATGCATCTGTCTATAAACGTTTTAACCCGCGCCCTGATGGGGGGGGCCATTTTGGCCCCCCCCCCCTGTGGTTTTTCTTAAATAGCGAGAAAACGGCGGCGCGCAGCGCCGCCAAATTTTGGGTACCTTACCGGACATCAATTTGACACCTTCACACAAAATTTCAAGTCACAGGTCACCTCAGGTCAGGAGTTATTGAGGTCAAACTGAGGTCATGTTCGAGTAAAAATGAGCAAAAAACATGACATCTTGAAACGCTCACCAATTCTACAGTTAACAAGCAATTTTAAAGTTCTTTATGTGGTTGTGTAGAGAAAAAACGGCGCTACAAAACTGCTATCTCGGATTTTCGAAATTGTTGGATTTTGACCCCCAAAATTCAAAAAAATTGATTTTTTTAGAAAAACTCAAAAAATTTTCAAAAATTTTTCGAATTTCGAAAAAACCGGAATATATTTGATAGTCCTTGCGCTCTTCGATATACATACCAAATTTTAGATCGATACCTCTTTTTTTGGCCAAGTTATAGCGAAAAAACTGTTAAAAATTGATGACGTCAAATTTTTTAACTCAATTTTTAGCAATTCTAGACCTCGTAGCGCAAAACGGAGACCACCATTGAACTCCCCGTGACGAGCTGCATCGAATCGATACCCATTTTATGCAAAAATATCAACTTTGAAATTTGACCTAATTTGACCTGACCTTGACCTGACCTTGACCTGACCTTGACCAAAACGTGACCTAAGCTGGCCCTAAAGTCTGTCTGACCCACATAATCGCATTTGTCATGTAAAATGGACCATAAAACATGTATCACACGACACTTTCATATTGTGACCCCCCAGTGACCTGACCTCTGTGACCTGACCTGGTATCAGTGACCTCAAATAGCAAAATATGTGTTTAAAGAACATTTCCCCATCGATGATTTTCAATGAAATGCATTTTACACGATTTTACAACGCATTTCTTGAAATGCCTGTAAACGTTGAAAATTCGACCTTTGACCTGACCTGTGACGTCATCAGTTTGACCGAGGTCAATGAAATTGGGTCACAAGGTAGTTCCCCGTTGGGGCTATCTAACACCGTTTACCGCTTGTCGCTATGTTGCGTGGTTCTCGAGATCTGAGGGGGGGGGGCCAAAATGGCCCCCCCCCATCAGACCGCGTTGCTCGGCAGACCCCATCTGGGCGCGGGTTAAATGTCAGTCTGATGTCATTTTAGATCGGGTCAGGTCACATCAAGTGAGCTCATTTCCCCTGCAAAAGTAAATGCCACAGTGGCATATCGATTGCTTTGAAAGCGCTAGCGAGAGACAGGATGCATAAAACGTTTATCTAGGATTTCCTATATCGATGACCTGTCACCTGAGGCCGGACCAATTGGGCAGCGAAACGCCCCCCCCCCCCTACGCCGGGCAGAGTTCAGAAAGAGACGCGACGTGAGGGGCGTGTGACTAAGCAATGTAGCTGTTTTCAGTAATCCTAATAAAAGCTATAAAAATGAGCGGCAAATATCAAAACAGATCAGAAGTTGTGGTGCAATTCTGTATATTTCAGCGGTTAACCAATAAACTAAACCATAACAGGCAGCAGTTCACTATCCAATGGCAGAATGCATTGGAGTACGTTAAACCATCGATCAAACAACACAGGAACATACCTTGGCGACATTCGATGAAGTATCACCATTCGATGAAGCAGCATACTCCATCATTCCTTGCCCACGAATAAAAAGCGGGCGATAAATATTATCCAGGGACCATATTAAGCCCAGATATGTGCTTAATGAGCTATGAGGGGGCGGGTGAGCCACATCCGACTAGCCACATTAAACCATTATACCATTCACGTAAGCATTCCCGCTGGCAGCTGCCGTACAACTACACACTATCCGGGCGATATGATATATATCGGATCTATCACAGTGTGAATTTCCCGGTACCGCTGTGACGGCAGAGTATAAAAATACTCCCCCAGGAGTATAAACATACTCCCCCACTAACCACGAGTTTCCATAAGGGTCACGCCTTTGGCCGAAAACAGGTTCGATGCAATACGGACCACATTCACACACATGAAACTAGGACAAACGGCCAACTTCGCTAATTCATCTCAATGGATGATCACTAACCCAACCAAGGATTCTCCATCCTTAAACGTGTAGCTCGACTCAGCTCAGCTGAGTATAAAACTCAGCTCAGCTCAGCTCACTTTAGCTCAAATCATCTCCGCCCAGCCCATCCACACTCAGCTCAGCTCAGCTGAGTAAAACTCTAACTCAGCTCACCTCACCTCCGTTTAGCTCAACTCGGCTTAGCCCAGCCATCCCACACGGCACTAAGCTCAGTTTAGCTCAGCTCAGCTCAGCGAGAACAGGTAAGCCAGCTCATACTGGCTCCTTTCAGCCGGTTCAGGCTTCCCCAGCTCAGCTCAGGTCCAGGTTCCAGTTGTTCTCGCTAGCTCTGCACCGGAGCTGGGTGGCCAGTCCCTCCCCCAGTCCGGAGATGCAGTGCAGCAGGGGACACTCGGTGAGGAGCGACTCCACCCCAGCCTCCGTCATCTCACAGTCGGTCAGCTGCAGACGCCTGCCGAGCGGAGAGGCAACGGGGAAACGACTTACACAAGAAGGAAATGAAACGGCGAACACCGAAATTAAGTCAAGTCCCTAGTCGTTGTCGTAAGACCCAGCAGACAACAGTGTCTATCATTATAGTAATAAATGCTACATAATGCTAGAGAAAAATGAAAATGGAAAATATTTACGACAGCTTTTAACCCTGCGAAAAACGCACATGACTTTGTGGGTGCCTATGTAACTTGCCGTGATCGCTTGCTCTCGATACTTTTGAGGGACATGTCCTGGGGCCGTATTCACGTCGATCATTTTCGTAAGAATTTTCTTAAGTTAGACCTACTTCTTAAGTAAATTTTTTTATCCACGTGAACTCCGTCGATAAAAACTTCAGAAGTGTCGACGTGAATACCAAATTACACTTACGAAAGAAAATCGACTTACGAAGTCGACGTGAATACGGCCCCTGTGGTAAGTCACCATTTCCCTAGATGACTAGCCCATCGCACCCACCTCAGCTCACGGAGTCCTCCATCAGCCAGTACCGACTGGACGGCCTCGTCCGTCAGCCCTCCGGCCAGCCCCTCCAGCTCCAGCTCCTGAAGACGCGGCGCTGAGGCGCTCAGCAACCGGGTCACCTCCGGCGCACGAGCGCCCTCTATACCGAGCCGCACCAGCGACGGCAGCGCCCTCTGCGTTGGAGGTGGCGACACCGGCGTCACGTCGGCGGCCAGGGTCAGTCGGAGCGAGCTCAGACCGAGGCAGAGGCGGAGGGAGGGGAACAGGTGGCGCGCCTGGTCCGAGAACAGACTGGCGGAGGCGCGCGAGGTCTCCACGAGGTGGAGGGAGCTGAGCCGGCGGCCGGCGATGTCCAGGAACTCGAGCAGAGCCGCCGGGTGGACATCGATCAGCTCCAGTGACGTGAGGTCGGACAGACTGGTGAACCTGTGGGGTCAGAGAGGAGGTGTCAGAGCGATGGAGAGACGAAGAGAGGGGAATAGATGGCTTATGACGCAATGTGTCGAGAAAAGGGGGCAGAGAAGGCCAAACATGGTCCAATATCATCAAAAATAGCAGACAGACGAAGCTCACGATACTCGTGAATTGAGTTGAACTTCCACAGTACAGCCAATAATAAGACAAACAGGGTGCAACCTACGCACCAGTATCACATACTTTTATTCTTCATTCAGATACAAAAGAATGCAGAAGGTGTCACCATCCACCACGCTCACCCCTACCACTGTCCTCACCAGTGGAGCATCATGAGGTCATTGCGGGCCGAGTGTCGTCCCCTGAGGCAGAGGTGCTGCAGATGGCGGCAGCAGCGTGCCAGGCACTCGGCGTGCTGCGCCTGCAGCTGGTACCGACACTCGAGTCGGCGCAGTGAGTAGCAAGGCACCATGGGCCGCCACGTGGACGGGTCGGCGCCGTAGATGCCGTCAATGACGTCGGCAATGTCCACCTGAGACGGGGTGGGTCAGAGGTTTGATCCTAAATATAACATACCACTACGAGACAATTGAATGATTTATATGGAATGGACAGTAGTCGATCACTGTATGAGCAAGGGAAGGCGATAAGAAAAATGAGCCAGATGTTGGAATATAAAATTTGACTAAAACGACGCAGAAAAAGCAAATGAAGCTGGAAAGACAACACTTACGTTTGCCAAGACACACCACAGCGTCGTTGTAGTCGAAGAGCCCACACAATTACTCTGACAAAAGGCTAGCATGGCAAGAACATGTGACGAGTGACTCGTGCAGCCTCAACACGTCTTGGTCTCACTGGCCTGTGATCCAGTGACACGAGTCACAGAACTAATCCATTGTGACCCTTCCACTGACCTCTGTGACGCGACAGACGTGCATCTTGGGCAGCGCCTGCAGCAGCAGTATGTAGCCGTGGGTGCCCACCATGGTGCTCTCGAAGCAGACTTCCCTCAGCGTGTCCATCTGAGTGGGGGATAGAGGAGTGCCGCGGCGGCACATCTGAAGGCACTGTTCCATCTGTGGGATAGAGCGAGAGAGTGAGGAGAGAGAGAGAGAGAGAGAGAGAGAGAGAGAGAGAGAGAGAGAGAGAGAGAGAGAGAGAGAGAGAGAGAGAGAGAGAGAGAGAGAGAGAGAGAGAGAGAGAGAGAGAGAGAGAGAGAGAGAGAGAGAGAGAGAGAGAGAGAGAGAGAGAGAGATGCCATAGCTTACGTCCTGAAGAGACCGTTTTTTAGGGACCGAACAGAGTGAAAATTTGAACGAAGTTAAGCTGTAAACTGCCAACAGATATATATGCCACTCAGAAAGAAAGCTCATGATGCATGCTTGGAACTCATCTCAGAGACTGGTAGAGTAGAACAGCACCCACAAAAAGAGCATAATTGGGCAAAAGCCAGACAATGCACCTTTAACTGGAACTTGAATGATAACCAAAATTAAGCAATATCAGTTCCCGCAAGAACATACCAGACCTTTAGGTCGCTTCGTAAGACAGCGAGCTTACTCCTCACCCCACTCCATCCTGCCCGCCCACTCACGCTATCTGGCAGTCCAAGCAGCAGGCGGACGCCCTCGTTATCCGCCATGGACAGCTCGACGTGCAGTTTGACCAGCCGGCGGCAGCAGCGTCCCACCACGGCCAGCACCGTGTTGGTACAGTGGTTGGTCAGCTCCAGGCTGACCAGCTGAGTGAAATCGGTCAGCACCCGCGCCAGAGCCGGCGCGTGCTCAGCCACCTCCTGCTCATCCCAGAGAGGGTTCTCGGAGCGCACCGCCAGCGCGCGGGGTCCTCCGGACGGCGGCGGGGCGCCGGTACTGAGCTGACTGACGGCCCCGAGATCCTGCAGCCGCAGCTGGAGCCGCCGGCCGCCCAGCAGGTAGCCGAGAGCGGCTAGCAGCGGCCCGGCCGGCCGGCTGCCGCAGCGGCGCTCCAGTCTCTGCGCCAGCTGCCGCTGCAGGGGCGGCGCCAGGTGCCGCTGCAGGTGGGAGCAGAGCGCCAGCGCCGGCTCCGGGGGTCGCCCGTCGGCTCCCAGCTGCCACAGCTGGTCGGCCAGCCAGTCGGACGTCAGCTCCTCCAGGGAGCGCACCGGACGCAGCGGGGGCATCCTGGCGACAGGCAGGGCAGATGGTGAGAGCGGGGTCAAATGTCACTGGTGGGCAGGGACTCGAAAGGAGGTTAATACAATGATGAATGGATACGCAACCTATACAAGAGTGGGCTATGGGTAAGAGTGTACCTAAAAAATCGGGAGGGTAGGTCATAAGGCAATGGAAATAGAATCTTTCAGGTCGGTTCATGAGGGATGAGGTCACTGGAGAGTAGAGGCAGAGATACTCCGTGAGGTCAGACACTTACCTGTGAAGAGGTGTCATACGCCGATGAGGCCGAAGCTTTGAATGCCACGAGGTTGAAGGCGGCACCAGTCACAGTGCGATTGGGATAAACTCGGTGTTGCTTGTCAATCCAGAGCTTATTGCCCCTTGTAGTTTGGGTTCACTTTGTGAAAATATCTACACATCTATGGGAAGCGGCATTCTTCAAGTTGCATCTTTGATTTAAACAAAAAAAGTGGGCCTTGACTAATCAGAGCGTGACCAGACGAGCACGGTGCAACGTACTCTCCAGCTGGGTCAAACACAACCAGAAAACATTGGTTCAACATTGGCTCCTCGTGAACAGGCAGTAAGGAGTCCGGTACAAGGGCTTTATTGACACTTGTTTCCCCAGCATGGTATATAATCAGATTACACAATGAAAGCACACAGTTATAATACGCCATATCGTTAACATATCTCGCTGGTTGGGCCTCAGTCATGTGGAATGTTGCGCCACCGCGGACGCTCCCGGCCGAAAATACGGCGGAGGTATAGAGGATAGCAATGTCGCGTGCCGGTCGGCCAGGCCGCCAGCTGCCTTTACTGACAATGTGTGGGTAGAATACCAAGCTTGAGCTACTGAGTCATACGCATAGAGAGCGGCGCCCACCCCAATAACAATGTGGAACAAAAACAATGGGTCCGTCGCGGCGGGACAGGAACCAGCGGGGGTAGTCACTGACCGGGTCCAAAGGACCAACAGTAGACCATCACTGACCGGGTCCAGAGGACCATCAGTAGACCATTACTGACCGTAACGGCGGACCGGGGGACCATCTCTGACCGGAATACGAGCTCATGCAAGGTCAGGAAAACAAGACAGTCGTCCGTGTCGGTCTGCGTCGCCCCTGAGCGATAACGGTTAACGAGAGGACGACGACGCCGATCACTGAGAGGCAGCGAGATTGCTCAGCCGACACCGAACGAGCCGCGAGCGCCGAGGTCAGCGCTCTGGGTCACTGAGGCCAACACGCCCGCTCACTGGGGTCAGCTCACCGGACCATTGACGCCAGCTCGCCCTGGGCCACTGAGCTCAGCACACAGGAGTATCTGGATCGCACTACGCCTCATCACTCTCTCGTTTAGTCACCAGTTTGAAACTCTTTGGTTTGGCCAGTATCTGCATGCGACTGGTGACGTAGTCCCAGTCGGTGTCGTCACTAGGACCGTCGTATCCGGAGGGGGAGGGCGGCGCGGGCGGCGGCGACGGCGGAGCGGCCGGTGCCTCTTCTACAGAGTTCGGTACACCGTTCTCCACACTCTGTTCGTCGGTCGGCGGTTCGATCGGCTCGGTCGGTTCGGTGGGCTCGGCAGCGGACTCTGCCGAGTCTAGGCTGGCCGGGGGTTCCGGCGGCGGTGCGCTGTCGTCCTCGCTGCCCAGCGCGCCGGAGTCGGTCGGACTGCCTCTGCCTCGAGCAGCGGCGCCGGTTGTGGAGCCGCTGCCGCCCTCCCAGCCGTCCTCCATGGCGTCCTGTAGTGTCACACTCGCCGGTGGTAGGCGGAGCGACTGCTCGCGGTCGCGCGGCGCCGGCGGCGGTCCACAGGGCCAGTAGAGGGGTCCACAGGGCCACGGTGCGGCGGAGGTGCCCTCGCCTGGCGGCCGGACCGCGTCAGTCAGCAGAGAGGCAAGATTCGGCAGCATCGCTCGCAGGTCACTCGTCTCCAGCGCACAGTACTGTCGCAGCTGGGCGATGTTCTTGTTCAGAAGGTAGACGGCGTAGTTGAAGGCGAGGCTATCCCGTCCTGTGACTTGCAGCGGGAACTGGCGCTCGCCGTCCGGCAGACCCGGCACGATGTGGTCGGTGAGGACAGGGTGCGCGTCCCGCTGTCGGATCGGGTAGCGCAAACACACTCCCAGGACCCAGGCCACCATCACCACCAGGTGACTGGCGTGCGCTAGAGCTACAGACACGGCCCGGTCCGGCGCGGTACTGTACTCCTCAGCGTTGGGCAGGTGAATACCGAGGATGGTGTACCCCTCAGCCGTCCGCCGCAGAGGATAGATCACCTGTAGTTCGGCACAGAGCTCACGCCGCCGGAACGCCAGCTGAGCGTGCGCCTGCACGTAGAGCGCCTGCAGTGCGGCGAACTTGGTACGCCACTCGGCGAGCGCCGCGCAGTCCTCACGCAGCTCGTCATTCTGTCGCGCCAGCTGTGCCGCGCTGGCCGCCTGGCGGGCTCGAGCCGCGGCCAGCGTCCGACGCGCCTCGGCCACTGTGGCGGCGCGCGCAGCCGTGTCGGCCCGCAGCAGCACCAGCCGTGCTCGCAGCCGGTCCCGAGCTGCCGCCGCGCGCCGGCGCCGCTCCACCGTCGGCCACAGATCCTCACCCTCCCTCACCGCCTCATCAATGGCCGTCTCTAGCTGCCGACGCTCGCGCTGACAGCGGTGCAGCCTCTCCAGCTGCGGACCGCGTGATGCCACCCCAACCGTATCCGAGGGTACCGAGACAGCCAGCGGCGGCGGCGCCACTGAGCGTCGGTCAGCCACACAACCGGGCGCCGTCAGCCACACGGAACCAAACCGAAACAGCAGCGTGTTGGGCTGAAACGTCCACCGCACCGAGACGGGCACCAGGCCGGAGAGGGCCACCGACCACCGTAGGATCTCGGCCTCTCGGCTGCCGCACTGGGCAAACACACGGACCAGGAGTTTGGTGGCGTTAGCGGCACGGCCCAGCACCGGCTCTAGGTAGAACCGCTCCCAGACAGCCGTGGCCGACAGCTGAGGCTCGCTGGTGTACACGGGCGCCGCGTGCAGACCCGTGGCCAGTGTGAACCTGTAGTGCAGCGGCGTGACACCGTCACGTGGCGTGACGTCATCGGTGGCCAGCAGGTGGCGCGCCACCAGCTGGCGGAGACCGCGCGCGCGCCGCTGGTTGGTGGCCAGCGCCGCCGGCGACGACTCGGGTGCGCTCATGGCGGCGGCAGCATCGCCCAGCGAGCCTGCAACAACACCAGACAGCCCAGTCAGCAGGCGGTGCAGGCGGTCACCAGGATTTGGACGGGCGAACGACGGACTGACTGAGCTGCCTGGTGCTGTGCGGAGGCGTCTCCCATCGAAGCCCAACAACAGAAGGCAGAACACACTGGAGTTGTGAAAACTCAGAGGAGACCGATCTGCATTGTTCAGAAGAGCATCAACCAACAATGTGTTGTCACAAAGTATGAACTATAAGTTGGCTGCTACCTATTATCTCTATTATCTATCTATATTCAGGTATATTTAGGTATATACAGGCATCAGGTATTCAGGTATCTCTATTCAACCATAAGTGTTACCATCCATATAACACAAGTGACTTATCATTCCACAATGGTCACACTGTCAAGCATCCAACAAATAAAATAAGTTTGGAGAAAAATACATTGATGCCTGCCACCTACAACAATGACCAAATATGTGTGTCATGTTTATTTGGCTGGGCAATTGTAAGCAAAATAAATTTGTAAGATATCAGAAAAAAAAATCATGCAAAAGACAGGAGCTAGACATTATCTGGAAACCTAACAAAGATAAAACAATTAATCCATAACTTCTTTGAAGAGTGAGTAGCAAAGCATATCTAAATTTTGAATAGATATTAAGTTTCTACCTACCTTTCACCCACAGTACCCACATATTCCCTGAAGCCTGAGCTCTATTCGCCCCCCGTTTATTTATCAGCAGGCTGTGACCATGCTGCTACTTCTTGGCTCCTCATTGGTCAAATTCAAGTGGTCTATTTGTTAGACCAATGAGAGGCCAAGCCACACCAGCAATAACTTCCTTATATGGGGAAAACCGACAGCACGCTGATATAAATACAGCGACTGAACAGGGCCCTGGTTTTGAGAGCATATCTAGGTAATAGGAAAAGGCTATCACTCCATCTCTGAAAATTCCTGTCAAATTCACAAATACCTTGATAATGTATTTTGGCAGGGAGTTAACTAATGATTTATTTGCTAACTGGTCCTATTCCATGATTCATTTAGAACAACCAACTTTATTCAGGTAGGTGATCTAATAAAAGAGGAAAAGAAAAACTTTGAATTGTTCAGATATTTAAAACACAGTTTTTCGCTGTTTATCAAGACGTAACAAAGAAGAGTAGAATTAACACCCACCTATTATTCAAGCTGTGCCCTGTGGTCAGTGATGTTCAGAAGCTGAAGCTGGTAATTCAACAAGCCGTCCTCTTGAAGCCTTGGGCAAAACCTTTATGGATAACACCAGAGTTATGAATGCTTTTGCACTGCAATCTTCTGCAATGCCTTCTGGACTTGCAGCATCAGTATCAATATGTTCAATTAATTGTCAAAATGGAAAACCTTGACCTTCCTTGATGCCGAACACAGGGAAACTTACTTTGTGAAAAGTACAGCTTTGCTATCCTAAACAAAATGTTAATAAAATAATTCTATCAAAAACTTATCACTGCATCTTGCTGTATTTCAATGATGAAACACAACACTCCCCTAACTTCGACGAGTTCAGTGACTCACTCAAAATCCCAAAATCCGGTCAGGACAAGTCAGCAGGGTGCACTGTCTTGCTCTTGAACAAGCCTTGGTTGGTGACTTGTTAGACTACTTATCAGTGTAAACAGAATACCTCGTCTATTAATCAGCACACTACCTAACCTCTTTTTGTAACGGCATAAAAAGGGATCAATCACTCCCTCCTATCATTTCTAAAATGTTTTCAAACTTTTTTTGATAATTACGACACATTTCGACATAAAAAGCGCATCACCGACAATTGCAAAAGGAATGCGGCTAGCAATATAAAGTGTTGTAACTACTAACTGCAATACGATGATATGTGCGAGGCTGCAATAATATCAAGCTAAGTGAATATCTATTATTTGTTTTACTTAAAACTACATCTATGTCTTTCAAAATCCTTATCAAAGGATTGACTGAACTCAGAAGTCCGATCACGCGCCCGGCTGGGGTCCTGGATTTCCACGCCCTGCTGGGGGGTGTCTGAACACCACCCCCCCCCCCCCTCTAACTCGGCTCCTGGGCCACGCACACTGGTCGGAAACGCTCCAGCGAGAGGCCAGCGGCCTTTCCGCAAAAGTTTTTTGCTTGTTATTCCACAACTAGTGAAGCAAACTTCATAAAACTTTGCATACCTTCTCTGTCATATGTAAGCTATCATTTGGATGTCAAACACTAAATATATGACGTAAATCTGTTAAGTTATGACGTCATAATTGAGAATAATACAGGATCTAGTGTAGGGATCATCTATGCGATTTGTCATCTATGCGATTTGTCATTTCATGTTGTCATTTTTATTTATATTGTCACCGCCTTATTAATCAATCTGTTACCTGTTGTCAATTGCGCGTCAAGTTTGTTTGTTATTTGTAAACCGGCCTGCCGCTGGCCTCAACCTTCCTAGTAACCGCTGTGCCATACGCTATAGAACGTGTCGTGCAAAGGTCACGGCGGCACCCCTGAGGCGGCCGCTGCCCGTACGTTTAGGAGCCCATTGTCGTGACGTCATGACTGTGGACAAAGGTCGCGGTAGGGGCTCTCCCGGCAGCCGGACGGTGACTCATACGTTGAGCTTGTCTCTCGCCGCGCCTGCGGGCATATTGGTAGTACTAGGGACGGCCAGCATATGACCGCGGTTTTCGGCGACATTGTCAATTCGTTTTTCGACTCTGCTGTTCGCTGCAAGACCAATACACATAGAAAACGGCTCGGGCATTTGGAGAAGAGCGGCTACTCTGAGGCGAGGGAAGAACACGGAGATTCACACAAACGACCTGACTAGGTTGCACCGGCCACAGTCGACCGAGGTGGGCTTCCGCGCCCTTAAAGACGCCTCTGACTGGCCATTGCGCTGACACCCTGGTCGGACCACGGTCATTGATCGGACCCTGCCACTGGTTCGTGCTCAGGCTGCCTTAGCGGGTAGACCTGCTCGACCAGACGCCCCACTGGTGGGCGAGTGCTCGGTTCCGACTTTCACCGCCGGTCCAACAGCGTTCTGCTGGTTCCCGCCGATCCGGTTACGACACCGCAAGTGCCGTACCGACTCGGGCGTCCCAGGTGGGCGTAACGGTTACCACACCAGTTCGCGACCCCCAGGCTC